TAAAGTTTTATTTTAAATGAAATGCTTATAATTATGAAACATTTAAAATAAACCTATGAAATTGCATTATTTTTCACGAAAATTATAGATTATTTGTTGATTAAAATATAAATAGAACATAATCTTTGTCAATTATATTATTATTCTATAGAAATTTTTATTTCTTAGAACTGGTCGAAATTGAATATCTTTAAATAGAATTACCATAATCAATCTTGATATAACATCATTGAAAATATAAACGACAAACACAATGGCATTGACTCGTAGACATATAGCAAAACAAATAAAACAATAGAAACAATAGTCCATATAGGAGAAAAAAGGCATCTATTTTTATTTATTTCCATCTGTTAAATACAATAGAAATAAACCAGTCGTAGTCTCAATGAGATAGGTTCGATTTTCTTCTAGTACACATAATAATAGATATTCTATTTCTAAAACTAGAAAAATATATCTTTTTCAAGACTCAAAGCTTTCTTTGAAGAGAACATGTTCATTTCTAATGTCTCTTATTCAAATAAATTCATATTTCACATGTTTGATTCTTGTTTTTTAAAGACATATCGAAATATATTCTGCATTGTGTCAATTTCACAACTGTATTAGTTATGAAATTCTTTGAAATCTCTCAAATTACTAATTATAAATATTTTCAATGTTTTTTTAACAAGAAAAAGTGCAGATGATTTAGAAATCGACTAATCAAAAAACAAATTTAAAATAACAAAACAAAAAACTGTTAGATATTATTTTTTAAAAACAAACAGCATTATTTTTCACATAATGAAATAACATTTAAAAAGCCTATTTAAAAAATTTGCCCTTAAAAAGCTGAAAAAAACCTTGTAGGCTTAAAAGGGTGTGGGTGTGGGTGTGATTTGTTTTTTCTTTTGCTAATATACGCCCACCCCCACCCCCACACCTACACCCTAGTTAAAGAAGCAAAAGTTCAAGATTGGACATCGACGTTTCTGATAATATTTTTCAAAAATCAATTACAGAAAAGTAACTAGAGCCTTTTAATACTTCAGCTCATTGATGTTTTATAAAATATTTATTCTATCATTCTTTTCAGTTGTTTAAAAGGAACTATATACAATAAATATAATATATTCTTTTAACAATTAAATCTTACTAGAACAAATATAATTTCTGTTTATCATGATCGATTCAATAATCATCAAGTGATTTTTCTAGTTAAATTAATCTCTTCAATTCTCGTAAGGATATATTAATTTATTATTAATGTAGTGTATATATAGAGATGATTGACTACATCTAAATTTATTTCGTTATCATATGGATAATGATTCTCATCCGTATTCCATTATAATGTATAATTTTTTCTCCTAAGAAACTAAAATTAATATAAACATATTATTTTTGATAGTACTGTCACATATTCAAAAAATTAGAGATTGGAGAAAATCCTATTTAACAGAATAATAAGTGTATGTTCATCCTAGTCTCATTTAGATTTTAATATTTAGCGTTTTTGATTCAGTGTATATGTGACACAATGTTTTTGTAAAAATAATCTAAGTTATTCATAGTTATAAAGATTTATTGAATAGAAATATTCTTTCTATGACAATTTGTTCTCCCATCATGTTGAGTTGTAAAAAAACCATATTCGTTTAATCCAAAATGAAGAAACAAATTTATCAGTCAGATCATAATATGTCATTAGATTATTCTGATTAATATAATAATAACATCGTTCAGAACTTATATAATTCATATCAATATAGGATAATTAAGAATATATTCAAGATATATTGATTTAATATTATAAAGAACTCATGTATCCAGACGAATAAATTCTGAAATAATACGATGTGGTGATAAAACAATATTAACAATAAATGAATTTGTTAAACGAAGTAATCAGTCAAAACATTAGAAAGAAAATTTTTCTTGAAATAGACAATAACAAAAAGCTGTACGAAAACGAAATTTGTGAATGATTTCATAGAAAAAAAAGATTTTTTTCTTCTAATAATTATAGATGTTTTATTGATTCTGTTCATCAACTAATGAACGCAACAAGATAAAATTTTGAAACTTCCAGGAAAGGAAGATAAATATCTCTCAAATAGAATTTTGTTATCAAAATGAGAAATGTAGAGAGAAATTTTTTTGGATTCCAATCATCGACTTATTTTCGGTTATTTACTGATCATTCAATCAATTGACCACAAAATTTTTTTAGTATCAACAAATATCCTTGCATTTCTCTATTACATGAAGAAAAATCATAAGTCTCTAGGTACTATCATTGTCGAGATATTTCCAAAATATTGAAATTCATTATATTTTGACGTCGACAGTAGTAAGAATTATTAAACTATCCTGCACTAAACTAATATACGATTGAGATATAGAATGCAGAAGAAACATTTCTTAATATTCAACAATAAGAATAGCGAAAAGTCCAATGAGTTTGTTTAGTTTACTTTAGACAATGAATGCAGTAAACAAACATCATCAGGTATTATCTAACATTAAAAATGTATAAATAATAAAATCAAGAATGATATAGCCATAACATACAGATATTGTTTAAATATATTCTTGTTAAATTATTGACAATGACAAAAAACATATTTTTCACAATAAGAGGAAAAACTTGATTTATATGACAAATAGAATAAGATTTTTCGTAGTTATAATATTAGCTAGATTGAATCTTGAACATGTTCGTGATTTATCTCTTTGTTTAGTATGAATTGCTACAATAAAATCATTTCATTAATTTACAAAAAGAATATGTAAAACTTGAATTTATTTCGTCAACATTGAATAGTTTCAAAAACAAATAAATTAGAAATAATTTCGCAATTTGAATGAAATACTCATTCATTCGAAATTTTTTTTTATTGTTCTAGTTTTTCATTTTTGTTGCGACTAAATGCTTCTTGATGATCTGTTGTTGTTGTTTCCTTAAAGAAAAAATTCAAAACTGTCTTCAGTACAATATAAAGTTATGCAATTACTAGAATGGATGCGGATGAGAGTGAATGAATGCTTACACCCATCTTGATTATATTGTTTGTATTCGTATAGTTCCTGTATGTATGATAGGATTCGTTATCAAAGACTTCACAAGATAGGGAGATCTGCAATTTTGCTATTAATTAAAATCTCTAATCTCAAGTTTTGATATTCAAAACTATAAGTTTGTTTTCACAAGGTCAGATGGCGTTTATTTACACTACAATAAGAGCTATCGTTATCGGTTTCGATCCACTGATTACGACCAACATATGGGAGTTTGAATAGAAATCATCTGATGAACTATTCAGCAAGATCGAAACCAGTTATGGTAGTTCTTACTATAGTTCATCTATAGAATGACCCTTTTGCAAACAATGGTCCAAATATAGATAAATGGTCGATTCTTTTTCTTTTCCGTCCGTCCAAGACGCACATACTTATTCAGCGTATTTTTAATGTGATCATCGTATTTCAACATGTCGACAACAGAGAACATGGAGAAGAATCAGATGTCGATTGTTCCTCTGTCAGAGGGTCAAGTATCTATGAACTCGTGTTCGACAACAACAACAACACTTGAATCCATGCCAAACGAACTTCTTATGGAATTATTCGAATATTTTGATTGGTATTCCCTATATTTCACATTCTCATCGCTTAATTCTCGTTTCGATTCTGTTCTCACCCATGTTCATGACATTGATGTTAATCTAGACTGTATTCCTTCGAACAGGATTTTGTCTCACATCATTCGATACCTTCCCTCACTCGGTTCACATCGGATTAAATCTTTTAGGTCATCTATCAAGTGTCACAGCGAGCTTATACTACGTGATGAACTCATTGTCGACCGTTTCTCGTGCATTCGTTCGTTCACTCTATTAAACATGGATAATGAAACGGATCATCTATTCAATATTGCAATATTTCATCTTCTAGGAAATCTTGTTCATCTCTCTTTGTCATATGTTACATCAAATCGTTGGCATATCCATCTCTCAATATATCCCAAACTGCGTAAATGTATCTTGCCGAATGCAACATTTTCTTCACAGCTTATTCATCTTCAACCGAACACAGTCCAATATCTTCAAATTAGTCATCAACAAAATCTAATCCACGAGGTGGCCACCATACTTCTTGCTCATTCGCCTCATCTTCGACGACTTAATCTGCATGTGGCAAGCAATATTAATGATTCATCAAATATACGACCTTTTGTTCGTCCTTCCTCTCTTCCACCATCGGTGCTCATCCATCTGACTGTGCAATCGTCTTTTTTGTTTTTCTTGTCGATCGAATGGCTACTTGCCTATGTGCCTCGTCTTCGAACTCTTCATGTTCGGGTGATATCATCTTGTCAACGAATGGTCAATCCGAATGAATGGAAACAAGTTTTGCCATCCAATCTTACCCGACTCGATGTCAAAGTAGAAGTGAAGGAATCAGCCATTTTGCCGTTGGAAATTTCTCAAGAAAACACTGATTTTTGGCAATCGCGACAATGGATCGTCACGATTGTCACCGATTCATTTCCATATCTTCATATGCACAGCTGAAGATGCATCGACCTATTCATTCCATGTTTTAATGTTCAATTCACGTTCAATAGTCTCCTTGTATTTACTTCTCTATGAATATTATTATGTAAATTCATGTCGATTGACTAGAGTAATTCTCTTTCCTATATTGAATGCTAGAAAAATGGTGCAAACGAGTGTCAATTGTGAAAGTTTTAAGTAAAGTAGTTTCAACCTTTATCACTCTCTTAAGATAGCTTGTTGGTCGTCAATTTCGACACTCAAATCAACAAACATCATTTTTCGCCTAGTTGTCTCGGCTAGAGAAAAAAAACTGTTTAATCTTTCGTTTTTGAAAAGATCAGTAATTTAGCAAATTTATAGAAAGTATAAAAGAATTCATCTTTACATATAATATCTTATTGGATCGTGACTGTTGAACTAACACAACAAATAGATTCTAGATTCCTATATTGCTTAGTCTTCACGTTGAGAAAAAACCTTAATCATATTATCGCTTGATTGACAAATTTCGAAAATATTCCGATAAAAAAGTGTTACATAAGGGTAATATTCTTTTATCTTTTGGGCTACATTAAAGTACTCGCTTATATAACTAGCTGTTTGATTTTTTTCAACAAATATTAAACAACGTTCAGATTCTAAGCAAAAAAAAGGTAAATTTCGCAATAATAATCTTTTTTGTACTAAGATTTTGTTCAAGTAATTGAAAAAGTCGATCTTTTTTAGATGCATTTGACACTTCTTCAATAGTTTGTGATATATCTTCATTAAGAGCATTAGGTTTACCAACAACAAGAGATATATAATTATCACGTATAAAATCTTGAGCTAATATTTGAACTTCATCAGAAAATGTTGCAGAAAACATAAATGTAAAACGTTCATATTTTGATAGTAAACCAAGCGCTTCTAATTTACAAATATCAGGTTCAAAATTTTTGTCAAGCATTTTTAAAAGAAAAAGATGAAATTAAGCGAAATAAGAAAAGTTTTTTTCATACTGATCGCCTTGATCAAGAACGAAATATTTCACTCTTACTAATGAAATCTTTGATAAAGATTTAAGATTTTAATATTAAAAACAAAATTAAATTTACTCGGTGTTTTTCAAGCATATCTTTAAGACGACCGGTAGTAGCTGATAAAATATGACAACTTTCTCGAAGACAATTGCAAATATAAAACATATCATGACCACCAACAGCAGAACTTATTTAGCACATAACAACGATAAAAAAAAGAGTCTTGCTTCACGATCTGTTTGTAAAGGAAGTTCACGTGTAGGTGAAAAAAATACGACAAAGAAGTTATGGTGGATCATGTTTTTCATGTAATTCATTTAGATAATATTCAATTAAATTTGAAATAATTGATAAAAAAAGCAGCCTATATAATTAATTAATATGAAAATTAAACTTATTTTTTTGCTGGAAACGATTTGTACACAAGCTATTATATCATCTTCTTCTCGTAGGGGTTGGGTGAGGGTGTGGACGTGGGTCTGTGTCGGTGTGAGTGTGGCTGAGGAAGTGGGTGTGGGTCTGGTGTGGGTGTGCGGTGTGGGTGTGAGTCTTTTCTTCTCGCACACCCACACTCACACCCACACCCCACCCACACCCACACTCACACCCGCCCTAATAGTTGTTTATCTTGTAATGAGAACCGTGCCACAGGTCCAAGAAATCGGGGATCTTAGAGATCTCCACGCTGATCTCCAATATACTAGTCTTTCCACACCACCCCAATCTTACACCGAATTTGCTGTTAACATTCCTCTCTAAAACATACATCCAATCTCTCATCAAATCTCTGTAACACATCACGTATCTTTTTTTGAGCCTAGGAATGATGCTGGAGACGCATCTCCAAGCAGAGATGCCGCATCTCCAATGCTTTTCTCTGCTCAGATAATTTTGCTCTATCGAGACCCTGAAAAATGGTTAACTTCCTATCAACATTTTATAAACCAATTTAATGTTTCCACTTTGGAGCGTATCATTATTTCGTTTTTAAAGACTACTCATGCACAATTTCAGCTTGAAAAGGCTCGACGAGCCTGGTGGCAACATGTGTATAACTATCCTGATGCAGGCAAACAGGTCATGCCATTCTATTTAAACAAAATCAGAACAGCAATCGGATTGGAGAGAATTTTGGAGTTCAAAGTAGGTGTGGGTGTGGGTATGATTCCTATCTCCGTTTCCACGCACACTCATACCCACCCTAGGATTGTGCTATCGATCTATTGCTTGTAATTAATTAATTGTATTGTTTCAGTAGTTCTTTTTTATCCGATTGAAAAGAGAATTCATATTTGTTTACTAAAATTCAAAATGTGTCCTACATCCTGTCAATTGATCGTCTGCAAAAAATATCCTATGAAGGATTGGAACGAACACACTAGTAATTCTGTTTAATCTATTCTATGTATTCCGTAAATGTTAATATCGACTTTGATCTTAAATATATCAACTAGGCATGTGATAATTAATGTTCTATTATGAGTAGTTGTACTGTTGAGTAAAATAGAGACTCCGGTTCTTCCTCAAAAAAATTTTTATTAACAAAGTTTAAAGCTACGTATTTTTGAGAGCAGTTTTTAAGCATATTTAAATGTCTGTACTTTTTATACATATAATATCATGATTCAATGATTTTTATATTATCTACTGTACCATTTTGACTTATCAATGATAATGCACATTCCTATACTGACATATAAGACTAATATGATAAAAAAAATCAGACAATCACACCTATCCAATACTAGTTATAAGACAAACAGTTATCAATATATTTCATTACGGAGATGTCCACAGGGTGAGTTTTTGCACCCTGCCCTCCTCACCTGCTCTCTTAACAAAAGAAGCAAAAATAAAAATCTACCCTTTTCTATGACTTTTACCTATTCTTGTTCTTTTTTTAGTTTTTTATGTTTAACTCTATTTAAAAGAAATCGGATTTGTAAGTAAATATATTTAGGGATATGGGTTTGGGTGTTGTTGTTGATTCATTAAAGATATCTACACCCACACCCAATCGTTGAAACCAAAACAAAATCAATGTCGTTAGTCTATGAAATTCAGTTTGTTGTATTAATTGATATGATAATAGTTATGTCGGCATTTTCAGTTGTAAAGTACATAGTTTCTTTTGAAGTTGACTCTGGAAATTAGTGAGACACTTTTGAGCACATCCGCTACGTGCATGGATCGTTCCATAAAGTTGTAGAGTTTGTTGACTGTTTGTCAGAAGGAAAGAGACCGATCTAATATTAACGATCAATCAAGACTAGTTAACGTAAGTAAATAAAGATAAATCATTACCTGTGTGATTGAGTTCCTCCCGTGACCAATGCAGAATCGACACTAATATCAACTCTTTTCCTTGCCAAATCCAACAACTAAAAAATTTATAAACTTGAAAAGATTGCCTTGAGATGAAAATCTTCATTTGTAACCTGGCTACTGATATTATTGAGTTGGCTCGTCGTTATATAACCTGTTGGAAGTGTTCCATTGCTAATGGTATAAATCATCTTGAATGATGTTTTTCCTAAATTGAAAAGATTAAAATAATAATTTAGCAAACGTCGAATTACCAACCAGAAAAGAAAGCAGGGTTTGATTGTATGTAAATTGGTATCAGAGAAAGAACAATGACTGTACCGATAGTAATCAGTACGATTGCAGCCCAGCAGATTGACATCAAACTTAAATAGAAATAAAGATAGCAAGCTTAAAATTTTACTAGTGCGATGACTTACATCACCTTCATGCTGACCTGAAAAGAAAAATCTACGAAAAAAAGCAACATTATCAGAAAATTGTCCAATGCATCAATCAAAAAGAAAAAAAAGCTAATGCAATGCTATTCATAGTTTTGACATCTCTTTCGAAACTGATAAATCATTTCTTGAACGTTATCTATCTTGTGTGACTGTTTGGTCCATGATATTATTCTTCCGTTATCAATGCAGTTTGCTCCATATGTACTTTGCAAGCTTACTCGAATGTCTACAATAGGACTTGCGTTAATTGCAAAAGTCTTAATGAAGAAATTCAAAGATCTATACTCTCCTATAATATATGAACAAAAAAAAAAACATCTAGTCACGGATAACTTAAACTTCTGCATATTGCCTCGCATAAACTTGTGACTTGATTTTCCTATTTTCTTTGAAATATCATATAACATGGACAAATAGTGTAACTAAAATTGTAGAAAAGCACGACAATAAAGTATATTATGACAAGTTTACTTAGAACCAGTTAGGAAGGAAAAAATGGATGGAAGCAGAAAAATATAACTAGTAGGCTACTGTAATCATTTCGTTCCGTTTCGATTAAGGGAGAAGAGATATTACAATAATTAATTGTACTCTGGCTATATTGTATACAGAAAATTTATTCATATACTCAAAAGTATTGAATAAGGAAGATAAAACTGCTATAGTGACTAGATCGTAGTTTAGTAAATCAGAAATCCTCCATTTGGATTGTAAGAATTGTTAACTAAATTGAATATTTCTAAATGTGTAAAGGTAAGAAATAAATATAAAATGTTCAAAAATAAAAATTCAAAACTATTATGAAGACGTTTAAGGGTACCCACCTCTTTTTTCGATCAAAAACTCGGTTTCGAGTTGGACATAAGGTATGATAGTCTCAAGTGTTATGTGCAATTAGGCATACCATTCGATTCTAAACACCTTACTATCACAGAGTTACTGAATTAAAAGAAAAATTTTTTTCATAGTAATCGTAAGAAATTTTTCTTCTTTTACTTAGCGTAATGCAAAACTACAATTTTCTCAATTGGACCTGCTTACGACCCTCCTCTAACTTTGTCCGATCGGGCTGGAATTTTTACCACTGATTCTTGGAAGTATTCTCCAGAAGTAGAATCAACCGTTTCTATTTTGGACCTTCCTATTCGGAACTATAGGGTTGTGGACGCCATGATCCGGATTTTGGATCCGCACCTGTTCGTATTTCTCTTGTTAAAAAAGAAAGAAAGCGAGATTTTTAAAAAAGCTCAAAACTACCTCTGAGATATAGTCCTAGGTATCTCCAAAAAAATTGTCAGTCCAATCGGATGAAATTTAATGGGGGTCGTACTGTGGCCCGATGCGGGCCTATGGAAAACTAGAGTTTTCCCAAAAAAATTGCAAAAACCTCTTTTAAAATTTTTTTCCTCGAATACGTATAGGCTTATTTTAGATGCTCTAGCTATGGTAAAAATTTCAAGCAGATCGATTATACCCTCTTCCAGAACCAAAAATGGTCAAAAAAGAGGGGGGTACCCTTAAGAGGACCTCCCCTTTCTGAACCCAAAATTTTCAAATTCTTTGATTTTTGATTTTTCTGCTATGCATGTGGTTTCAAGTGTCCTCTCTCTATTGGTGACATTTTGAGAACCCAAACATAGCCTTATATTAAAAATAAGATCGAAAAGATATTATGATTTCCGTAGGGGTATAGCACGATTTTTTCTTTCTTTATTAGTTTTCTAGAAATTCGGTTTTTCAGCGAAACTCAACAGAATCGCTCCCGTTTCTCAGCAACGATGCATCCGATCGGACTGAAATTTTTTTTATAGATACTAGGGACAGTTTAGGAGAGCTAATTTTTTTTATTTTCAAAAAAATAATACTACTGATTTTTTTCAGATCTCACAAGGCAAGCACTGTCCGACAAAATAGACATTTTTTAGGGTGCTTTTCGTATTTTGGCTTTTTTTTTCGAATAGAATGAGATAGAAATAAACCAAAAAAAGTAGCTCCTGGAAACAGTGTCTAGTATCTGTAAAATAAGTTTCAGCGCTCTAGCACATACGACGGCTGAGAAACGGGGCGATTTGAGGGGTGATTTTTAGCCATTGTGACCTCAATATCTCCTAGAAGGAAGTATTTCAAAATTTTGAGTCTATGACAACTTTTACTCTACA